TTGTACGCCTGAAACCCATGTAACTTTATTAACCATTGTCACCCCAATAAAGTTTAATTTAAAAAATTTTTTTAATAAATACAAATATACTACACAATCACACACATTCTTTAATACATGAGAGCATATACTAACCATGTGTATATATATTAAAGATGTCTATATAAATATATGAGAACATAAGTGAAATGTAAAGACATTAAATAACACAAAACCTGGAAGGAAAAAAGTTTTCTTCCATGTCATAAATACTGCAAAGAATGGTTAGTTTGAGAGGGCAGTTCCACATGGAAATGTGCTCCAGCAATATTCCTGCCACGCTGAAACCCATGTAAGTCCAAAGCTGCTGCGTGTCAGACAGAACAGAGAATCACAGACAAGCAGAATCAAAACCTTCCCCTGAAGCTGGGCTCGGCGTTTGGACCTTTTTATTTACATGGACCAATAAGTTCACTTTCCATCGTAGATTAGATTTTTTCCAATGTATTAGGTTGTCGGAAAAGTCATGATGCATTTTTGCAATGAAAACCATAGAAAAAATAACGTCATGACTTTTCCAACAACGCAATATTATACAAAAGACTAATCTTCCCGTACATTGAAAAAGCCTATATTCAGTTAACTTATAACATTATTTTAGAAAACCATTCAACTTCCAATTATCTAATAGCTTTACTTCTAGATCATTTTCTTCCATAATCGGATGCAAATATAAAATAGTCTATCCATTTCACATCAGAAGATACGACCAAACTGGACTTTGTAAGCTTCATTTCTGAAGCTCAATTTTCAGTATTTATAAAAAAATTGAATTTTACTCCCCAATGCTTGATAATCATGAAGTTGCACAATATAAACATTTAAAGAACTAGACCAAGGATATTAGAAAACAGTGGAGATGTTTGTAAATTAAACACTATTGACATGCAACATTAATGTAAATAATTTAAATATCTACTGGGGAATGAACATGTAAATACTTTCTAATGCTATATGTTAATGTAAAAAAAAAATGAGTGAACTTTGAACTTCTGCCACAAGCCATTTGAGAACAGAAAGGTTTTTTTAGTCTTAAAGCTCTTAGGGGAATCACATTAGGAAGAAAGAGATAAATGACATCTTTAACCCAATTAACACTGGTCTCAAATACACCAAAAGAGACCCTTTCCTCAAATTCTTTCAAGAGGATAGAAAATCACAGCAGTCCAAGACTCGTGTTAACAACTCTATCTCACTAATTAGGAGGCAACTGAAAGAATTAGCTGGCATAATGGAGCGCCGGGTAAAACCAGCTCTGTCAGTTCCATTCCTACACCAAGAAGCTAAACATGGCTAAGAGGAAACACACAGCCATGATGACCGGCTTCACTTTAAATGCATGGCTAAATCTCACTGGGGCCTTAGTGCTGCCTGGCGAGGCTACCATCTCCCCAGCTAATTCATTCTCTGCACCTGCATGGCAACTGCACATTTTCTCCTCTCATCTCCAACGTTCATAGCACCTGCCCCCATCATAAGACTCAGCTGCTGAGAAAAAATAAAAGTCATCAGAAGCGAACTCTCAAGTCCACCCTTTCTACCCATCTACATGGATCTATCCACATGCTGTGCCTTCCTTCCTGCTATTATGAATAAATGTTATTATGAATAAATTGGGATGCTCATACAACCTGATACCATTTGCTCCCACTGGTCGAAATAAATGACTCCAGCACTGTCTCTTAAATCATCAGCTGCCTCTCTACTGTACAATTCCCTTCATGATAGAAACATGCTGTCATTTCTGCGTTAAAAAAATCTTGACCCCAGATCACCCTCGAAATTCCCCATTTTTCTATTCCTTTTTATCACAAAGGACCTCAAGACAGTTATCTACACCTCTTGTCTCTAATCCCCCTCTTCCTGTTTTCCTTGAACCTATGCCATATAAGCTCCTATGCTCCACCCAAACCACTCTGGTCAAGGTTGCTGGAAACTCTTCATAGCTGAAGCCAATGGTGATTTCCAGAATTCATCTTACACAACTTCTTTGACACAGCTGATCATACCCTCCTCCTTCAAACACTTTCTCCACCGGGCTTCCAGGATGCCATTCTCTCTTGTATTTTTTTCTATCTCACTAATTATGCTTCCCATGTTGCCTTTGCTGGTCACTACTCATTGTCCAGACATTTTAATGTTGGAGGGTCCCAGAGCCCAGTCCTTGAACCTCTTCTCTTTTCTACCTGTGCTCTCTCCCCCAAGTGATCTCATCTGACCTTGGCTTAAAATACCATTTATTCACTGATGACGCCTTCATTTATACCTCCAGGTTGGAACACCCGCTGCGCTCTCAATTCTTACATCTCTAATTGTTTACTGACATTTCCATTTGGACATGTACTCGGCATCTTAACACAACAAAAACACAAACTCTTGATCTTTACCCATATGGCTGACATTACGAATATTTACCAATATCCAGTTCTCCTCCCCTTCAGGGCACATGAATGACAACACATGGTAAGGCCATATGACCTGTTCTGGCCAATTTAATGTGAGCAGAAGTGCCGTGTATCACTTCCAGCCTGGACAGTGAAAAGCCCCATTGTGATTCTCCAATTTCTCTCTCTCAGTTGCTGTGGCAACTGGAAACATTCTGTGTTCCATCCAGATGGTGTACCTTCAAGACATGGGCCTCCATCCACCAGGCTTCCTTAGTGATGGTAAAGACCTTCTCACTGACCTACATGTCCCATGAGCAAGAAATAAACCTATATGAGATTTTGAGTTCTTAGTTATCAGAGCATAGCCTCGTCTACCCAGACTAATACCTCCCAAACCTGCTCTTACACAGTCCTCCATGTCAGCAACTCCTTCCTTCCAGCTGCTCAGTCAAAAACCCTGACATCATTCTTGACCCCCTCTATCTGCCACACCCCATATCCAGTTCATCAGCATATCCTGTGCCTTTGAAATACATACAGGATCCAACCACTTTTACTGCCTCTACTACCATCTGGTCTTCAAAAGACACGAGTAAGAAAATGAAAAAAACAAGCCACACACTGGGAGAAAATATTTACACAGCCCATATCTGATGAAGTTCTTGTATCCAGAATATACAGAACTCTCAAACCTCATCAATAAGAAAACAAAATACCTCATTTTTTAAAAAGCAAAAGATTTAATAGAAAGTTCACCAAAATACACAGATAGCAAATAAGCACATGGAAACATAATCACGCTTACCATTACTAGTCACTGGGATATGCAAATTAAATAAAAACCACAATGAGATACTACTACACATTTATAAGAATGGCTAAAATTAAAAAGGCTGACAATACCAAGTGTTGATGAGCTGTGGAGCCCTCAAACTCCCATACATGTCTGCTTGCAATGGAAAATGGTACAACTATTTTAGAAAATACTTGGGCAATTTTTTAAAAAGTTAAACATACAGCTGTGGTAAAAAGAAGAATGCTTGTATGTTGATAGAAACAGTTCACTTCTGAAGCTATTTATAGATGACTTATAACTACTTATTGGTGATTCTTCCCTTGGTTGAAAGGTGCTAAAATGTACACCCACTAAACAATCCAGTCACTGCACTCAGAAGTATTCCCAAGAGAAATGAAACCACATGTCCACTTCAAGATTTGTACACAAATGCTCATAGCCCCAAAGTAGAAACTGTCCAAATGTTCATCAACATGTGAATGGATAAATTGTGGCATATCCATACAAAATCATACTGCTTGGTGATAAAAAGGAATGAATTATTGATACATACAATATTGGTGAATTTCAAAATAATTATGCTGAGTAAAAAACAGAAAAAAAGAGTACAAACTGTATGATTTCATTACATAAAACCTAGAAAATGCAAACTAGGGCCGGCCTAGTGGCTCAGTTGGTTAAGAGCTCGCTCATGAGTGTGAGCTCTGAGCAATAGCGGTTCGACTCCCGGCCCGAGCTAAGCTGCCACTGAGCTGCTCAGCTGAAAAATAAAAAATGAAAAGAAAATGCAAACTAAGCTATAGTGACAGAAAACAGATCAGTGGTTGCCTGGGGAAGAGGGGTGCTAAGAAAGGCAGGAGGAATTACCAAAGGGTACAAGGAAACTTTTGAGTGATGGGTATGTTCACTATCTCAATTGTGGTGATGATTTCACAGGTACATACAGGTGTCAAAATATTAAACTGTTTAAATTTGTTCACTTTAATGTATATAATGATACTCGAATAAACCTCTTTTTAAAAAGAAAATACCAGGTGCTCAATATGTATTTTTGGAATGAATAAAGTAGATGAAAATGAAAACAGATGCTGAGAAAGCAAAATCCCAAGAATGAATTGAAGTGGGAACCCCTTATATATCTTTCCTCATTCAATAGTATTCTTTACTGCATGATAGAAGTGGAGAATCAGAAGTAAGTTACTACAAAGCTAAGTCCCTCAGTACGAAGTTGTGCCTTTCAACCAAGAAGAGCCGCCTGGAAGTAGCTCCTGAAATGACAACTGCTAACCCAATATACAAACACTTTTCTTAGTCCCCAAGCAGTTGGATAATTTCTTTGAACTTATCTTAGAAACCTGGCTTCATTTCTCCCTTGTATATCATCTTCCCTTGCCATGAAACTTATACTGCCCCTTTTTCCATGAATTTGGTTTGTTATCAATTTCTTACGAGCTAAAGAATGGCCCTAGCAGGTATCCTCAGTTTGAGTCTTGGATGAAAAGTCCTGTCCTTGGATTCTTTGTGCTCTGTCTCCAATTTCTCACAGAGGTAGAAGAATCACCATCTCTCTTTCATTCACCCGCCCTTGCTCTTCTCTTTGAAATCCTAAATTCCACTCATTATCGTCACATTTAGCATCATCCTAATATACGAATACACCTGCTTCTTTCCTAAGCTGCTACAGTAATCTAGGTGTCTTCTGTGACATCATAGACTAGAATATAAAATGAAAGCACAGCACCTAGTTACGTATAAATAAAGTTAGCTCCCTGACTCACCTCATTTCCACCAACGGCCTTGGTTAAAATCACGGCAGAAGACACAGGGGGAGGCATGCAGCCTACAGTCTGCAAACTGAAAAATAAAAGAGAATGCAATCATAAATGGTATGTTTTTTGTCCTTGTAAATAGTTTTCACTGCATTCATTCTAAAACAGCAGAGCTGAGTAAATGAAAATAGGAGAGTGACTGTTGATGCACACGCCCTGTTGAGTTTAGACAATTCTATAAGAGGCAACATAGACGATGCTGAGAGTGCATGGGGAAGCTCTCATTCCATCCACAGGCTTCAGTGATTTTATTTTTCAAATTATTTAAGCTCTTATTATATAATTCAGAAAAACAGTCAAGTTATAGTGAGTATAGTCATAGAAAGATAACCAAAATGGTTACTCATGTGGTAAGTGTGTGTAATCAGGTTATTTTGATGGATCTTTCAACTTCCTTTTTTGTAGGAAGTCTTTTGGCAAAAATAAAACTTTAAAACCACTTCCATAGTTCAAAAATGCTTAACAAAACACAAGCATACATTTGCTGATTCCTTTCTCTAAAACAGCAATTCCCCAACTTTCATCTCATAAAAGACATTTTCATGTTGTTGTAATATCATTATAGAGATAGGCATGACACAATTATATACTTTTTGAATTCTGACTGTAGTAAATTCTAGTGCCTATTCTAAACTTGGTTTTTATCACCCAAATCATGACAAGAAGTCTATTTGCTTAGTTTAGGATAGAAGATACATTGCATGACAAGCAAATGAAGCTATGGGTTGTAAATCTAAGTACTAAAGATAAAAACACATTACTCAGCATTCATACAGAATACACATTCTGGGGAGTGCGTAGCTGGCCTGACTAAAGTGGAAAGTTCTTACAAGGAATAGAGGACGCAAAGTATAACTAATATTTTGAATGTAGGATTACAAATGATTTTTATTCACTTTTATAATAAGGTATTGTCTAAACTTCATGCAATTAATTTACATTAGCTCTGAAATATGGAAAAAAATAAAAGTTTTAACTCATTTTGACAGAAAACATAAGAAAACACCTCTTATGGAATTTCCAGCTCAATTCAATTCAATATGGTCTCCCTTTAATGACTATTTTCCCAAATGTTGCTAGTGTGCCCAATTATGAATCCCTAGTCGCTGGCCCTTACTTATGATCATCACCTCATTATCACTAAGACTTGCTGAGCATTTACCATTTGTAGTGGATACTGTTCTAGGCATTTTACTCATTTATTCCTCATAGTTATTTAAGATAAATACTATTATTATTCTCATTTTATTGAAAACTAAAGTTAAGAAAGAAGTTAAATTACTTACCCAAACTCACAAAGCCATCTGTTTAGGGTTAAACTTTTATTCTGGAATCCAAGGTCAAAGACTTAACTTCCCTACTGCTCCAACCATTCTGCCTTCTACCTCCCCAACCACCAAGATGAGAGACAGGTCCTCTCAGGTATTTCCAATTTTTCTAGCTTTTTCACTCTTTCCCTCTCTTCTGGCCTCTTCACTTCTATGTACAAGAAAGCAGAATTCTCCCTATCTTAAAAAAAAAAAAAATCCCTGAACTATTCACTGAATACATAATGCCTTCTGTAGGTAGGATAGTACAGAAGGGTATAAAACAAAGCATAAGACATCATTCCTACCTTCAAGGAGGCAGAAGATTCAAGACCCACATGTAGTTAATTAACCTCAAAATTAGTTGAGTTTGCTTCCTCAACATGTAATCCTACTTTTTTCATTGTGGCTCACTGTCGACCTTCTTTAAAGAACACTCCACTTACACAACCCCAAATCTTATTCTCTCTTTATTCCCCTGAAATCAGACTTATGTCCCTTCTACTAGTAAAAGCAGTAACCACAAAACTAACAAGTGGGGCCGGCCGAGTCGCGCATTGGTTAAGAGCTGGCTTGGGACGCCAGAGGGCCCCGGTTCGGATCCCACATATGAGGGCCAGTGACACTGCCCTCCACAGCTAAGATGCTGAACAACAGCTCGACCTGGAGCTGGGCTGCTGTGAGTCACCAGCGACGGCAGGTGGGTTGCCATGGGCTATCGTGTGTAGCCAGCAGCCAGCGTGAGTGGCCAGCAGCCGCAGTGAGCGACCGTCCAGAAGCCGGCGACTGATCTGCCTCGCCCGGGAAGAGCACAATGATGGTGGCAACTTAGGCCAGTGAAGCAACGTCCTCCATAACTAGACTGAAGAACAAAAGGATAGCAACTTGTCTGTTCCCCTTCTCCCAATTCTCCAATAAAAATCTTAAAACAAAAACAAAAACAAAACAAACAAGTGATCTCCTAATCACCAAATCCAATGTCCTTTTTCCCATATTCACTCTCCTTACCTTCTTGCTTCTCAAAACACTATATTCTCTTGGTTACCATGGCATATCCTCAATCTAATTTATCTCTTATCTTCTAAACCAGTCCACTCTAGTTTTTCCTGTCTCTCCTGCCTTCTTCTCAATCTTATTTTCATATCTGAATCTGTAGGAATACTTTCAAATTTACATTTCTATCCTTAACTTCCATTCCTAAATTTGTATCTGCCTACAATTGCTACCTCAAACTAAACATGTATAATGTTGAATTTATGTATTTTTCTAAAAAATCAATTTGCCTCTCAATCTACCTATTTCTGTCAATGGAACAGTTGTTTCCTAATGTTTCAGTTTGAAACTTCGGAGTTATGAGTAGCTCCACTCACTCCTCATCCATCCATCCATCCATCAATCAATCAGTCACTACAACCAACTTTCCATTCTTTTCCATGACAGTTGCCATCACCCCCCTTCAAATGCTTTTTGCCCAAATCTGGACATTTTCAATCACCCACTGAATGGTCTCTCTACCTCCACTCTTTCCCTTTAACACAGCAAGGTAAGGAGTATGTGCTCAAAATATATTTATGTCAATGACTTAAACTGAATCCAGATGTAGCAGTCTGCAACGCCCCCAAGTTAACATCCTAAGTATACACTCTCAAAACGGGAAAGGGAAGAGAGAAAAAGTGAGAAGAGCTTTCCCTAAGTGTGTTTGTACTCATTTAAGTTTAATATCCTGAGGGGACAACTGTATGCTTATTGTATTTGGCATACTGAGATTGCAAGTCCTACTCCACTGTCTATATACCCAGTACAATGCTATCACATTAATCTTCTTTAATGACCGTTTTTTAGCATGTTGTTTCCTTGTTTAGCACATTTAAGTCCTGAGCCCAGTAATTCCAGCCTTCTGCACGTTGGCCTGAAGGAAGCTTTTTATCTTCTTTCCCCACGAATGCCTCATAATTTAATTCTCTTATTTAGGAGTACACAATCCTTGCTGTACCTCTTACCCTTTAACTCATTATACCACTCATCTGACAAATCATATGCTCTCCCATTTTGGTTGGTTACTATTTTATATATACGAATGTGTGTGTGTGTGTGCGTGTGTGTGTGTGTGTGTGTGTGTGTGTGTGTGTGTGTGTATCCTACATAGCCAACTAAATTGAAAGATCCCTCAATATAAGCAAAATGAGTTAATACCTTCCTATTTCTTGAGTGCTCTATACATGACATACACTCGGTAACTATTTGTTCCTAATACACATCATACATTGTAGTTCTAAAATGATGTCATTATATTTATGAGGCATTTTATGCTTTTCTGTAAAATTTTATGCTCATTCTCTCCAACTCCATCTGGCCAAAACAGCACTCTTAATTTTTCCCCCTTGTCCTAACTTATTTTTCTCCTGCTAAGTAAATGATGCCACCAATTACCCAATGGCTCATGCCCAAAATCCAGGAGTCATCCTTGATTGCTCTTTGTCTTTCTCCATACCCCATCCATCCATGGGTTTGGAGAGCTCTAATTTTCAAACATATCCTCCATACACCCATTTCTCCCTACTGCACTGCTGCACCGTACCGGCCTCCAAGCTGGTCTCCTAGTGTTCTCTCAGGCCCTCCTACTATCTATTCTCCACATAGTAGCCATAAGAACCATTTGCGAATCGAAATCTGAAACACCACTTCCTCATTTAAATCCCTCCAGCAGTCTCCTGTGGCACTCGGAGTACAATCTGAATGCTCTATCATAGGAGTCTTGATTGACCTGCTCTGAGTGACCTGCTCCTGCCCACCTTTCCACCTCCAAGTTATATTATTCACCCTTGACAGCACCCGGCAGACTCTGGCCACCATGGTGGCTTTCCTGACCCCAGAACACACCGGGCCTGTTCCTGCCTCGGTGCCCTTGCACCTCCTGTTTCCTTTGTTAGAACATCCTGTCCCCCAGCCTGCTCACCCAAACACTTTCAACCGTATCGCACTGTTGTACTTCGCATCACTTATTTCTGTCTTGATCATCTATTTGCTTGTTTATTGACAATCACACACAGAGTCTCTTCAATGTGCAAAACTGGCTCTTGGCCAATTTTATTCACTGTTGTTTTTCTAGTACCTATAGTAATCCCTGGCACATAGTAGGAGCTCAACAAATGACTTAAATAAGTGATCTCAACTGATGTCCCCAACATTGTTAAGCAGGCAGTAAACGTATGGTTGTTCCCATAAAATGAGAACATTTTATGGACTGGGATACTGAGGTTCAAAACTGTTAAGTGCCTTTCCTCAAAGTGATGTACCAAGTTAGGAACAGGGTCAGAATGCAATCTTCAGGCTTTAAGTACAGTGTTTCAGATATTATACCATGATGCTAACATGTGGGTGGTTTTAAACGAATTCAAATAATTTTTAAAAATCATTAAATCCTCTTAATACACATGGCAACATTTTTAATGGGAAAAAAATTCTAATAAAAATCTATCATTAATTCAACTATCCTATCAAACATAAAACAGAACAAGTGAAACAGTAAATGTCTGTGCGAGCTCTGAGCAACAGCGGTTCAAGTCCCGGCCTGAGGTGAGCCGCCGCTGAACTGCCAACAGGTGGCAGGATGGCTCAGGTAAAAAAAAAAAAAGAAAAGAAAAGAAAAAGTAAATGTTTGGCCCTTATATATAATTTTTCTTTCCTATACATTTTCCTATACATATTATATACTCTGGGTACCTTTGGTAAGACAAATTGCAAAAGTTAAAGCACTCAATTGATAGTGTACATTATACACATACACACAGATCTTACAACCTCCAGTCCCTTCCATTTTTCTCCCAGTACCGCTTTTTTAAATTCCCAGAAAGTGTCTAGTGCCTGAAGAGTAAGCATATGGGTGTATTTTAAGATTCTGTTAAAAAATTCTTTCACGAACCTCCTTCATGAAACATTATCATTTTAAAGGATGATAATAATGTTAAAAGTGTTATTTCCTTATAAGATATCACATATAAGCTCTTTTGTAAACAATAATGTCACTAGAAATGCCCATTAAAAATGGACCCTTCAAAATATTCAAACATACCCTTTTAAAAGCCATTCGTTGATGGGTGTGATTGACAAAAGCTGAAGAAAAAGCCATATTGTTGCTGGGAAGAATGCAAGTGTAAAGATCTGAATGAAAAGATGCAGTCTGATATGCACCAAAGCACTGGTCAGCTCCTGCAAAAATGGACACAAAATAATAAAAGTAAGAAAACTATTTCTGAAAAGAGACTGTTACTAAAATGACATCACACGAGTCTGTTTTTTAAATTGAGATATAATTGACATATTATATTTGACTCAGGCGTATAACATAATGATTAGATATTTGTATATGTGGCAAAATAATCACCCCAATAAGTCTAGTGAAGATCCTTCGATTTGGAGTTATTTCATAGCTAAATTTTGTGCCTATAAGCATATGCATTAGATACAGACTTTAACTTAAAAAGTTATTGATAATTATGAAGTTATTCGTGAAGATTATAATTTTTATATAAAATTTCTGAAACATTCAAATTTCTTTTAAATATATAATATACCATAAGCGTTCAGATTTGTAAAATTCTAGACCAGAACTAACTAAGCTAACTGCCTTTATACCAGTATAGATTTAAGGATTGTTGACACTGTAAACAAACATGCATGTTTACCTAAAAAAATAATAATAATAATTTTGTTTAAAAATTTTAGCAGGACTTGTTACATTTTAATTAAATATGCTAATTAACCTCTAGTCATTACACCAGACCTTGTAAGGCCTCAATTTGGCAAGATGTTACTAAATCTACACACAAATCATAATTCTTGAAAACGCTTTCCCCAGCAACATTCTATAATTCAAAATGGCTTTTTCCCCAAAATCTACTCATTAAATTTCTTTGTGAACATTTACTGAATAGGAGCTATATGGCATGCGCTGAGCTTGCTACTTATATATGTTATCTCATTTAATCCTCACAACAACCCAATTAGGTAGATACTATTATCCTTATTTTACTGATGAGGAAATTGAGGTTAAGAGCTCCTGTACCTTGAAGATCAGAATCAAACCCATTAACCATGCCAGCTTTTTCCACTGTGTCACACTGCTGTCCCAAGAGGGAAATAATTCCCATGAAACATGACAAACCAGGCACATGTTATGAGCCTCACAACTAAAAAAGGATACTAAGCTAAAGTTTGGAATTTAAATATGTACTAAATAACAAGCACTTGCATTTGAATTTCTTTGAGTTTATGTGGTTATTCAGTGGAAACAAAATGAATTTAGAAAGTAGCAGAAAAACTTACATAAAACATTCAAGCAGTCCTTAAAGCACAAAAATGCCACTGATTCACTGGCTATAAGCTTAGCACTCTAATGTCAAGTAAGACATTCAAGAGATCCTCAGCCTCGGATACCCTAGCCAAAGTTTATAGTTTAATAAACAATAGGTTAATTCATACTCATTTACTGATAGCCACTTTCTGAGATCTGTCTCATTGGCTGTCACTATTTCATCTCCCTGCATGAAGACACACGGCAGTTCCAGTTTGGTCACAAGATATCCTTAATGATATCTATGGAAATTCTGGCAATGGGTCTAATGTAGAGCAACCAGGAAACACCGAGTAGACCAGAAACCATTCTAGGTCCATGGAGCAAAGCTAAGAGAAAAGGAGCCATCCTTACATTGAATTAGAAGTTTCACCCAGAGAAACCTGAGCACCAGCAGTTCCAAGAACTCTCAGCAGTCATGAAACCAAATCTCATTCAGATATACTCAGAAGCGTTCAATAAATACCAAATAAATATTAGTGTTTTTTAATTTAAATTATAATAAAATGATTAGCCAGAAGGCAGTAATGAAGGCATTTCATATAGGTCTCAGAAATATGAAACAATACAGCTTTTCTGAAAAGTAATTTAGGACTATATATCAAGGACTACAATATAATTCATATTTGGGGACCCCAAAATTTTATGTCTAGGCATTTATCCTAAGGATATAAAAAAATACATATAATAGTTACAAGCATTTATACACAGAATTGATCCTTGCAGCATTAACCATTACAGTGAAATCTGGAAACAACTTAAATGTCCAGAGATAGGAGAATAACTAAATAACCTAAGATATAAAGTGTTAAGAGCTATTAAAAGCCATGTTAAAACCGTGTGGACAAGGCTATAGAAGTACAGGGTCTCTCCCTGCTTAACCAAAAGCAGTGCAAATCGGCATAACCTATGGACAGCAATCGGACAACTCATCTCTTCATTCAGCAAGTATTTACTGAGCAGCTGCCACCATTCCAGGAACCTGGCTTAGCTCTCATAGCTGAGCCTGCACATGCCACTTGACCTCGCAATTC